AAAAAAAAAAAAAAAAAAAAAAAAAACAACAAAAAAAGTAGGGTTAAGTTTCATCGAAAGCCCCCAGCGGTATGTCTGCGGACTTGCAACACTAGAAACTGGTTTTCAATACCCATGGTGGTTAGAGCACAGATAGCCCATTGTATAGCTTTGTGCTTAATTACAAACAAACAAACAAAGTTCATCAAAAGTAAAAAAAAAGGAAGACCCACATAAGTACTATGTTTGTTTTTCATGTGTATTCTTTATTTATTAATATAAAAGTAACTAAAACATAAAAATTAGAAAAGTTTTTAGGCTAGATAATGTAAAATAAAGAAGAAAGAAAAAAGATTTTTCACAAGGTATGCTAGCAAACAACTTGTGAGTAGCCTGTGTGTTACATAATTTAATAGGGTAATTTGAGCTACAATGTATGCTAAGTGATTTACAAATTGATTGGATTATTAAATAGACATGGCTGTAAGGGGAATAAAACAATAAAATTTAAGTATAAACAGAGGTATACTGTTACAAGTATAAAGCTATTTAGGATACACAAATGTAGTTTGTTATAATTTGCAGTCATTCTAGAAAGCAAAAAGGAAAATTTAGATTTATTTCATATTTTTTGTATCTTGGTTAAGATGTTGGTCAAATTGACCAACCTTGTATAGAGTTAGGGTAGAGAAACTAACAAATAAAATATAAAGATTTACTGAATAAAAACGTTTGAATTTATTTGGGAGGTTTTAGAAATTATGCAAATGAAATTTGACAATTTTAATATGAAGAAAAGTATTTTCAATCTTAACATGAAGATCACTTTGCACTTGGAGCATTCAACACTTTTCCATATATTTACGAAGAAATTTTTAGTGAAAATACTTCAATAAAAATTTTGATCTTTTTGTCTACAAAAGACTCTTAATGCTTACTAAAAGCTTGCAAAATTTCGTGAAGATACACAAAATATGTCGAAGCTATATAGCCCAATTTTATGTCATAAACTCGGACGATTTGACCGAACCTGTAGTGATAGTGTTGAAGAGGTACTGACAGATAGCACTTTCCTTTTTTTTTTCGAAGTTCTTCAAGGATTTACCTAATATTTTTAGGTTTAGGTAGCTCAGAAAGTCTAGTCTTGGATTTCGCTGTATAAAGTAATATTATTTAAATTTTTCTGGTTGCTCTGTGTTTTTACGGAAGAGGTTACCCTTTTTAAAAAAACATTTTAAGTATTATTTTTTTTAAGAAACATCATGTATATTAATGAAACTTTGTTCTTGGTTTGGTTGAACAGAATTTCCATCCAAGACGAGAAAAGTATTTACTGTAATAATGGCTGTGAAGCCATTGCTGATACGGGAACTTCACTGATTGCTGGACCTACAAAAGAAATTGCAAAGTTGAATAAACAGATTGGAGCTAAACCACTTGCTCAAGGAGAGGTATGTTTCATTTCTCAAGTTTATTAGAGTGTTTAAGAAATGTGAAACAACAGTTTAGCATCAGTTTTACATGGTGGTGATTAGTCCTAATAGTAAAGCTGAATTCTTTTTTTTTTTTTGTTCAGAGATAGTATTGTTGCAAAGTGGTTGTATATGATTCCTTGTAAATAATCCGTTGGTAAATGGTGTACTAATGTGTGCTGAAATTCTAAGAAATCCAATGGTGATGAAAACATCTAACCTTAAATAATCCATTAGTTTTGTCAATATATAACTCTTACTATGTGGTAACTGTTGCTTGTGAAAAAATGCTGTTGCAACTAGGTTTGTGATTGTAATTTCTCTGTGACAAACAAGGATTTTTAGTTTATGTAGCTGTATTGTTTGAACATGAACAAAATATGGTCACCTTGAAAATGGATCACGTTGATATTTTCTAATTTATTAAGATGTGTTCATGATATAAGTAAAGAAAATATAGGAGTGCAGAAATCCTGAGCATTTTAGTATAAAATCTAAGCTGCAGTTATTACAGTGTTATGGAATTTCATTTATGTATAAGCAATTCTGTACCTTGTATTTTATATTTAACAATGAATTTGCTCCAAGGAAACAAAAGTCCAAGATTTCTGATTTTATTATTTTATTTCTCTCTAAGTAAGAATTATAACTGCTAGGTTTGGTTTTACTAGTAAAGTTATTTTTTATCATAACAATGCAGCTTAAAATTGACTCCAATGACTTACACCTTTTTTTAAATTTCTGTACAAGATTTATGGCATTCACTAAAACAGTTTTGTATACATTGTATACAGACAGTAGTTTATTTCAACTATTAATGTTTTAAAACTTATTATGGAGGTCTGGTTATTTATATAACTTGAATACACTTGTATATTCTACTTTTTTTTTCTATAGTATGCTGTTGACTGCTCTTCCATATCCAGCTTACCCTCTATTACTTTTACCATTGGTGGAAATGACTTCACTTTAAAAGGATTAGATTATATTTTGAAGGTAAGCATCTTGTTTGTATATTGTACCTGTGAGTTATGTAGCAGTGATTGGAGATTCTGATATGGTACTTACCTCCTCTAAATTAGCTATTATTCTTCAGTGCTGCCCACTATATGCAAACTTTTTCTTTAAGCATGCCACAAGCCTTCTGCTCTCCTCTATTGGAATTGAATGATTCCAAAATGTCTTTCATGCAAATCATCACGCGTCACTTCTCCATCAATAGGAGCATGACGTGCTCCTATGTGACACGTGACTTCTCTATGCTCCTCTACCAAACTATCACTTCGAAATTTTGCAGAAACTTAAGCACTGGAAGAAAGTGGCTGGCTCAGAAGTGGTGCAGTTCTCCTCATCTAATCTCCGATTCTGACTCTCTCATTTCTAGGGGTATCCTTCAGACACCTTTCAGGAAGTACTTCTATCATTCCCTCGCAGCGGTCCCTCTTCCTATTCAATGTGAGATTCTAGCTAATTTTGTGAGAGTAGTGGAAGTTATAATTTTCCTAAAGTGAAAATGTATTTCTGATAGGTACTTACCTCCTCTCACACTTCCCACTTTCCTCCAGTGCTCAAGTTTCTGCCAAACTTCGAAGTGATAGTTCGGTACAGGAGTCACATGCGTCACGTGAGCATGTCATGCTCCTATTGATGGATAAGTGACGCATGATGATTTGCATGAGAGACACATTGGAATTGTTCAATTCCAATAGGGCAGAGCAGAAGGCTTGTGGCATGCTTAAAGGAAAAGTTCGCATATAAAGGGCAGCACTGAACGAGAATAGCTAATTTTGTGAGAGGAGATAAGTACTTATTGGAAATACATTTTCAGTATAGGAAAATTATAACTTCAGTATCGCTGTTGAAAAATACAAACTAATATTAGTTGTTGGGTTATATCATCATGCAAAAATAAGTAAGTAACTGCAAACTACCACTGTAATCTCCCTGCTGTATTGAGATTGCTTTGATTAGAAAAATTTATAATTTTTAGATTGTTTTCTTTCTTTCCTACACCTTTTTAATATTTAAATCAGGGTAAATAGCAAGTAAGTCAATGGAGCTAACTTTTCATATTTTTTATTTAGTTTATTAATACTGATATTAATATCCATTTTTAAAACATCATGATTTCCCATTAAATTCTGTTGAAACCATATTATTAATGCTTTATGCAATTAATATCAAAAACACAAATTAATGTAAATGACTTGTATGGCTATTTCAAATTTGTTTTAGAACAAAGAAATGTAATTTGCATGTTTTATTAAACAAATCTGAAGATGTAACTGACTGAGTAGATAACCCGGTGTTTTGAAGGTTTTCTTAAAATTTTAGCTTTCATTTTAATCTCAAAAAATGTGATTTGCATTAATGGATGCTGTCACATGCTTTGCCATAAGCTTATTGCCATCCTAATTAACAATAAGTTTAAAAAAAAAAGTATGCATACCTGAAATTTTAATGCTGTTTTTTACTATAAGTCTAGTTTAGTTGCAATGAAATTGGCTAATTATATAAAAAGGTGCATTCATCATTAAACAAGCTACTGCAGAGACATGTAAAATAATATTTTTCATGATCAAACTGGCATGTGTAGAAACAAATGTCACTTTTAATAGCATTGAGTTATGAGTTTTTTTCAGTGTCTTGAGAACATGCTGCAGTTTTGTAATAAGCTAGTCAACTAGCTGCATTTATGCACACATTCTGTTGCTCATAAAGAATAACCACACTGATGGTAGAGCAATTGTGCTGGATTTTGGTGGCTGCATGGTCATGTGATAAAAATGTTGATACTGTTTTTCTTTTCTTGTTTAAGGTGGCATCTTCATATTGAAAATTTCTAAACATACATGTTGCTAATGTAGCAGAGAGCTAAATAAAGTGCAGAGCGATTCTAAGATAACTAAGTAGTAGTTGAACTATAAAAAATAAACATCACTTTTGAAAATGTTGCTTAGGAAAAATAAAGTACTTCTGTAGAGAGGGTCAGAGATTCCATGTTAGTAGGACACTTGAGAACTTTTATTTTTGTATTTTTTGAAACCTGCTTTTTCTGTAACATTGTTGAATGTTACATTGGTATTTCTTATCTGCCACAAATCACAGCAACCATGAACTATACTTCCTAATATTTTCAAACATTTGGTTGAACTTCTTACATGTTCTGGAAATAAGACAACCGTACTTAATATGAAATCATGCACTGGTAATGGAAATAGTAAAAATGTTCTAGGATTTAGCTTTGAATTCGTAATTTTATAAAAGTACATTGGCTCCTAACAGTAGTTGCGCCTACAAAGGACATTGTAATGACTACATTATGTGCACATTTTTTTCTTTTTTTTTCTTTTCACAGGTTTCACAGAGAGGTCAAACACTTTGCCTGAGTGGATTTTTGGGTCTTGATGTACCTCCACCAATGGGACCATTGTGGATTTTAGGGGATGTTTTTATTGGACGATTTTACACAGAGTTTGACTACGGAAATGCCCGTGTTGGTTTTGCGGAAGCTGCTTAACACGTCAGATAAAAGAAACATGAATAAGTTTGTTACCTCTTTAACAATATGTTATTACAAAACTTTAAATACATCAAAGTAATTAATGTTTAAGTGTTTTTTTTTTTATAGAAGAAATGTGAAATGTAGAAGATCTTCACAAACATAATTGATGTTGGCAACTACATTGCAAAACTTAAACTTTGTTTATTGGTAAGTTAAAAATTTAGCTACACTGGTAGGAATTACTGCAGTTTGAGCTCTCTAAGATTTACTTAAGTGTTAGCTTCTATCACAAAACTCTAAATTGAAAATGTATCAGTAGTATTATATCAATTATTTAACTCTCTTTAACAAATATGGTATGGGTATCACCAGGAATGGGGGGTGGGGGGTGGATGCAAACAACCACTCTTTTCAATCTCAATGGCATTTTGATGGTTATATAAAATCAAAATCTACTGCTGTAAAATCTGTTAAATATGATGTTATAATCTTATATTCATGATCTCTTTTGTTTCCTAATATGCTTCTTAAATCTGACATGAACCTTGCTTTGGACCATGTACTAGACTATTACTGACTCATGGCTAACTTAGACCCCCCCCACACCACACACACAAAAAAACAAAACAAATTTTGGTGATGCTCATGCATAATGTGTGCCTAGAAATGCTTAACTTAAATACATAATTTCAAAATGCATTTTATCAGTTTAGTGCCATCATTGAATATTTGTTTGTTTAAATGTATGCACTGGACTGTTAATAATATAAAAGAAATGTGCATGGGTGCATTTAATTAGTCACAGTAGGCTGCAGATTGACTTAATGTTTTATATTTTCAAACTCGGTTTGCTTTTGATAGATAATAATTCCATGTTTTTTTAGCATACATAACATATGATAAATTGAATATTATAAAATTTGATACAACAAGATTTAATTACCAGTTTTAATGAGGATTGATGTCATTTAATAATCATGAATATAAGCACATCTTTCAAGATGCTCAGATATAGATACACAAATCAGAAATTGAATAATATAAAAAAAAAAGAGAATATTGATTATTTGGATCTTATTTTATGTGTTTTATTGAATGATGACTTTTTGGTATACAATGATTTACACTGTAGACATCCAAACAACAGGTTCTGTTGGGAAGGCCTTGTGATAGGTATTTTGATGTAGATATTTAGATTTGGCTTTATATTTTTATTTTATTTACTTATTATTCTTTTTACCATATTTACATTGTTTGTATAACGAACTAATACTGAGGCAGCACTGTATCTCAATAAATTTATCAACAGTACCAATAACTAGTTATTTTGTTTTAACAAATAAAGAGCTTGAATGTGTACCCACGTAACACAACAATTTCACAATCTTATTTTTTAATAATTTTGTTGAGGTTTAAAATACAACCTCAATATGATAAGTTGAACTTAGATATTTATGTAAATTCCTGTAAATTAACAATCCTGTACACTGAATATACATATTTCATATCACCTCACTCTTATTGTAGCCAAGTGGTTAATATGTAATACTGTGGATTGGAGGGTCTATGGTTCATTGTCCACATGCTGTCAATAAAACATTATTTGTACATTGGGCTTGTGGGTGCATTTTAAGAGTAACTGTCAAATGCCAAAATTCAATTACAGTAGTCCAAAAGTTGGCAGTGGGTGCTGTTGACTAGCTACTTTCCCTCTAGCCTATCATGTCAAAATTAGGGATGGCTAATGCAGATGAGCCCCCCCCCCCCGCCTCCCTTACACAAATTTGGAAAAACAAGAAATTCTGGATTTCCAGGGCATCAGTTTTTCAGCAGTCCATTCAAAAATATGGAGATCCCAGGATACTGAACTTTAGAATATAGTTGTCCATAAAATTTTCTCGCATCGAATGTTCCAAATCAGTAACTTGGACTGTACATGTGTTTATCTGTATTTGTAATGTTGCTTGGGATGCATCTAAGAAGTGTTATGAATGATGCAAATGCATTCCTAATATTTCAAGGAGTTATGACAATGGCTAAACAATTATGATGTATTGCTACACCAATGATTAGATAGTGACTTCTGACCATTACAAGTGAACTAAAAGGATTAAAAAAAACAATTAAAATCTTTAAGCCTATTTATAATTTTATTTAAAAAAACATTTTTTTAGGGTTACAGCAATAAAAGAAAGTCATTCAGAAACTTAATACAATTTTTTTAGGCCTCAGTAGAAACCATCTGTTTGTGAAGTTGCAAAATTTATTCACTTATAAGAATAATTTGATGCAACATTTCCAAAACTGCAAGGAAAATTCTGATGAATTGCTTCCATCATATATAATGATAAAACCCTAAGAGCAAAAAGCAACATTGGAAGGAAGGCAGCCATTGATCAGGTACAATGTACACTGAGGTACATTGTAAAATTAAATAGGAAGACAACAATAAAAAAAAAGTGCTCAGATTTTAACGTTGGATACCAGAAAAAGTGCCAGAGAAAACTAAGCTACATGAGCTTATCATATGGGATATCATATACACAAGCAATTCATTGCTCTGATAAATGCATGTTTATGCAGTGATCACAGACTTAGATTGAGAAACATTAGCAAAAGTTGACTTAGGTGAATCATTATTCTCACTTTCCTCATCAATTGGACATCTATATGTATGGAGACATCCCAAAGAAACACTTTCTTCCAGCTGTAAGGGTTACAGATTGTGTAAGTTTGAAGTGAGCCATATTTTATTGATATAGACTTGATCTAATCATCATATTTAAATTGGGATAATGGCTGGTCAGAACAAGAATGTCTTAAGAGATGGGCACACTCCATGAAACATCACTTTATCTGATTATTTATGGTTTCTTTCAGTACATTACAGCACTTGTTCACACAGCAAGGGACTATAACTTCTAAAGAGATAGTATAGTACAACTGCCAGACTTTACATTCCTATTAAAGTATTATAACATATCATTGAAGCCAGACAATTACTGTGCTTTCCTGCTGCTACACTCCTGAAAGTACTAAAGAAGTCGGTGTGAAGGACAAATCTCATTTTGGAAACTAATTGGCATTAATAATAGTAAGGAAGACTGATACAAAGTGAGTTTGAAAATTACGATTTTTCGAAAAGTTAATAAGTAGCACAATTGAATGTGTTTGATTAAGCCACTGTGAAATATTTTATAAGATACTTGTTGGTCAAATGATGACTGATCTTATATTAATACAAAGTGTACATGACTTCAGTCAGTATTAAGACTCTGAACCCTTTGGGATAAATATATGTCAAAAGTTAATTGAAGCAAAATGTAGAAGATTATAATAGTTGAAGCTAGATCTAGCTATTGAAAAGGCTTTGATCCTATTAAGAAATCTAAGATTGTGGACATTAAGACTAATGGCAGATTTAGTTAAAATCAAAACTGTGATACAATGAGGAAAGTAAATGTCATCACCATGATTAAGAAACAGACATGCATCAATATGGTTACCTTGCAGTTATGTCACATGTAAAAGAAATATCCAGCAATCCAGTGCCAGTTTTCTTATTTGTCAGCTACAGAGTGATGTGTATTGTGAATGAATTTTTGTTAATCTCAATTCATATTTGTTTTTACATCTGAGGGAGCAGATGTGTATGTCATATTGAGGAAGCCAGAACTGTGAAGCCTTGTCTTTGGTTCTACTAATCCTACATAACCTTTAAATACAGTTTATTAAACTTCTCTAACTTCATCACAGTGCAATACTCCTCTACTTCGAGGATCAGCCTTTAATCTTCAGTTTAATAAAGCATTAATTTTTGCTTGAACTTCACACTGAGTTTGTTTATTTTATTTCACAACTACATACCATTACACCCGTCGTTTTGCATACTAGGCCCTCGAATCTCTAGTTTTTGCGGGGTTCATATAATTAGTGTTAGATGTAACCTTGAAATTAACACCTGCCATACAAAGAAGTCACTTTGTCTTTCATGCTTTTGCTGGTTTCGCATGTTTTTCACATTGGTCTTGAGGACTGATTACAATGAAAACAAGGAAGCATGTTTGAGGAACCGGTTCTACGCTGTTAGTGCAAGAGGTGCTTTCGAATTAAAGGTCATTAGCTACAAATGGACTTGTAAATCGGCAAAGGCATCGTAGTTAAACCTCTATACTGCCTAATAAACGCACACAACCATGCCTGTGCAAGTAGAATTAGCCCTGGCCCACAACACTATCTGTGTTCTACTACTTATGTTTCCAAAGTAAACGATAGGACTGCATTACCAAATGGTTAGCGTACCGAACTGTGGATCTTAGGGTCTATTGCTTGCGTCTCGTTGTCGCAAAAAATCGCACTCTGCGCATAGGGGCCATGAAATGTATTATAAGTGTGACGGTCTAACCCCACTATTCAATTAGAGCAGCCAAAGAGTTGTCGGTGAGTGCTGTTGACTAGCTGCATTTCTTCTAGTCTGTCAGTCCAAAATCACAGACGGCTTTGTGCATATAACTCTTTCTGTACATTTGCCCGAAAATTCTGGACATAAACAATAAAAATGAGTTACCATGTCATGAATGAAAAATGCACCTAATAATTTTGCTTTAATAAGTCTTGGTCACTGAAAGAACCGAGAAGAGTAGCGTATGACCTGTTTATCATATTGTTTTTAATAATGTTTGTTTATTTTTATGAATTTAGCGCAAAGCTACACGAAGGCTATCTGCGCTAGCCGTCCATCATTTAGCAGTGTTTAGAGGGAAGGCAGCTAGTCATCACCACCCACCGCCAACTCTTTGGCTACTCTTTTGCCAACGAATAGTGGGATTGACCGTCACATTATAATGCCCCCACGGCTGAAAGGACGAGCATGTTTGGTGTTATGGGGATTCGAGCCCGCGACCCGCAGATTGCGAGTCGGGCGCCCTAACCACCTGGCCATGCCGGGATCTTTCAATAATGAGGCCGAACTTCACTTGCAATGTACGTAATGTCAAAATTCATATTTAACATTGTTTTACGAAATTAACTACTCTGAAATAGTAAAACTTTCATCGTGTTGTAAATAGCCTGGATAACAACTCGATTCTCGAATGCAAAGCAAGTTTCACCAATTACAACCTCTGAAGGTACATATTCATATCTGTTTAAACACCATCTTAACGAACGAAGCCATCTACAGTTCATAATGTTTATAACTCGAAATGTTACGGTTAAGCAGTGGCGTAAGTATGCCCCCAAAATTACGGGAGGGGTCTGGAACAAAAGGGGGTCCTAGTCAGCCAAAATCGTAACTACAATTTTAGAAAAATAAATGTAGGGGACCCAATTACTCTTTATGCGGGGGACATCTTTTGTAGTAACGTCGCTGCGGTCAAGATGCTTTGCACAAGACTGATATGCGATCATTTTCTTCCAGAGTTCCTCGCGCTATCCTCGATATAGTGAGCGTATAAAAGTGAAAAATTATATTTATTACGTCACGAAAATATTTGTATCTGTCATGTGATCCAAGTTGTTTTAGCAAAAAATATTTTTACCCGATTCTAGTCTCCCAGAAACATACGTGCTTGAAACACATGAATGAAGACACTAATGATGCTAACCATACATAAGTACAAATGTGGGTCTGAATTTGACATGCCCAAGTTCACTGTAGTATTATATTATGTGTATATTGTACAAAGTCCTTCATGGCGGGATTATTTTCTGCGATTATCTGAATGCTGATAATTTTGACGATGAACACAATACTAATTATTGCTTAGCATCTTTTAACACTCTTGTACACATCCTGCAAATTTTAGCACCAATACTGTGAGCAATTGTTCTCAACTTACGATAAACAAGATATATATAATAAAAGACGTGATATTTTACTGTCTTTATTGTAAAATATTCGAATACGGGGAACGAATAGAAAAATCCAATAATCGTTTCAGCTCTACTAGTTGTAGCTGTTGAAACAACGTACTTGTTGGATTGACTGAAAGTGACAGAAAGATCAGAGAAAACTGGTTAACATATACCGATTATTTTTATAACTTTGGAGTGTAATTTCCATCATTGTTGTTCCCCCAATCCTTTAAGATAAAATCTGAAACAAAGGAATATTACTAAAAGAACAATATACGTCAAAATATCCTATTTTATAACAAGAGTTACAATAAAAGTCATTGGGAACAATACTCTTCCATTAAATTTAGAATACAGATGTTACAATAGAATCATAACAACCCACTTGAGATCGAATCAGATAAAGGAAAACATCGTATATTGGCTATTTTATCATGTCTGTTCTAGCCTTGAAATTCTTATTAAGAACTTAGAATTAGACATATAAAGAGCATTATTAATATTTTATTCTTGCAAACAATTTTCTTAAAGAGTCCCCCCGTGGGACAACGATACGTTTGAAAACTTACTACGCTAAATTTCAGGGTTTGATTCCACACGGTGGACACAGCAAATAGCCCAATGTGGCTTTGCTCTAAAACAAAGTATACATATATATTCTCAATGATGTAGCTTTCGTTTAACCACTAAAATAATAAGGAAAATACATTACTACAAAATTCTTTAATGCTATACTACACTAGCAAAAAAATTT